TATATATATATATATATATATATATATATATATATATATATATATATGAATGACAGGTTTGTAATGATTAAAAGAGATTGTGAGGAAGTGAGGGGAGTTTAACAAATGGATGTATTTCATTTGGAGCACTGTGTAAAGACACCTGACAGTGTCAGCTCTCATAAACAGGAAGGCAGAGTGATGAGAGGACATGTCTCTTGGGTCAAGTGCCCCTGAATTCAAGTCCTGGAACTACCTCTTCCCACTTGTGTGTTCTTGGGCATACTGATTAACTTTCTTGACTTTCCACTTCATCAATATAATGACAAAGATAATGCCATATGGGCTGCTGTTAAGATGAAATGCAGTAATTCATAAAAAGTTTCAAATGAGCTTGGGGCTGATGCTCTACTCAACACATTATTGTTTTTAAGTATCCTCCAAAACCGAGGGCTAAGGACACCATGGGCTGGAATTACAAATGATTGTGAGCTGCCATGTCGATTCTGCGAACCAACCTAAGGTCATATGGAAAAGCATCAAGTGATCTTAATTGCTGAGCCATCTCTCCTGCCCCCTATTTGCCAATCAAGATGCTCAGTATTTAACAGACTTTCCTGTGTGTGTGTGTGTGTGTGTGTGTGTTTACTTTCTCACTGTGACTATAAATGATTAAGATTGAGTTTCCTTTAAAATAAAAGCACAAAAGAGACAGCAGAAAACTGGAAATGACCAAGAGAAGCCAGTTTTTGTAAGGTAGCAAAGAACACAAAAATGGTGCCTGGTAACTATAGCTTGTGTCTAGGTGGTTGTTTTTCTTGTTCTGTGGCAAAATTCAGGACAAGAAGCAATTTAGAGGAGGAAGATTTATTCTGGCTCACAGTTTTAAGGTATATAGTCCAGCACAGCAGGGAAGATGTGATGGCGAAGAGTGGGGTAGCCAGTCCAGTTGTGTCTATGGGTCTGGAAGCAGAGAGCAAAGAGGAAGTGCAGCTGTGTTTATAAAACCTTGAGGCCTACTTTGAATTACCTACTTCCTCTCGCAAAGTTCCACCTCCTAAGAACATTGCCACATTTTCAAACCAGGTGGTGACCAACACATGAGCTCATGGAAGACATTTCACACTTAGACCACAGCACTGGGGAATGGGGGAATGGTTTTTTACAAAGGCCACTGTCACGTGTTTGGAAATTGGCATCTGCCATCCATAGTTGGTTCTTTTAAACGTGCCCAAACAACTTGAAAGCAGTTGGACCACAGTGGCGCTGCACATGCATGAGGTATCTTATTAAAATTCTCATGGTTGTCAAATATCTTCTAAATATAACAAATCAAACCACCCCTTCCAAAAATCAGTAATTAGTCAACCTGGGTGCACACAGGACTTGAAAAGTCTCTCATCTCATCTCTGCTGTCAGCTGTAATCAAATTTCCTCAGACGTCTAGTTTTCCGGTTTTACCCAAGGCCTCTTGATTTTTCAGCAACTTATTTTTCTCTGGAAATCTAGCCTAGTTAGAAGACTCCAGAAGAATTCAAAATTAAATTGTTTTGCTATTTTCTCTCTGTGCGGCGGCTGCAATCAAACACTATTTCCCCTGATTCTCTCATACTTCATTTTTGAGACGAGAGACTATTTTGCCTACTTGGTTTGTCCTCCTCTAACCCCTTCCCCAGCTGCACACAGATACCTTCCCTCATTAGTAGCAATTCATTCTTTTGCCTTGGCATTTTGCAGTTCCCAAGACCCCTCCTCCACCCCCCACTGCAATTTGGAATGTGTTCCCAGAGTTGTGAGTCCCCCGGAAAGAGAATAGAGAATTCGCATAGGGAGAACTGAAGGCAACAGGGTCTTCCGTTAGCCCCGTCTGTTGGCCCTCGGACAGGCAAGTCACAAGCTTGAGTTCTGAGCTTTTCTCTAGCTAGGACTAAGCCCCCTTCCAAATGTGTCCTCAACGGTTATGTCTATCAGTGGCTTTGTGCGTCTCTCTAAAATAAGAGAATGCTTATTTAATGTGAAATGGTGTCGAAAGTGTTCATGGAGTGCATACAGTATACAAACTTGTCCTTTTCAAACAAATACAATCTGTCTTGAATTTAAAGAAAATAGGTGAAACAGCATAAAATTAATACTTTCAAGTATAACACACCTAAAGATATTTTCTGAAATATTTGATGTGTTAAGAGCCATTCATTGATTATTAAATTTAGCAAAAGATAAAAATCAGTCAAATAAAAGTTTGAGTTGGGGCAGATCATGTCTTTTTAGAGACAGATATCTCCTTGGTCATTTTGAGTATTAAGAATTTTTATGATTTCTGTGTTTAATGCCATCATTTAAAAGTTCTCTGTAGGGTTGCCAACATGCCTCATAAGAGCCATTTGTTTTATTTATTTCAGCTATCAGTGCTAAGTCTCTAAGTTAGACCAGGTAATCCTGAAAAAGAGTATGGGGGTATTTTTTTCGGTTGCCACAGAGCCTGCCTTGTGTTCTGG